ACAGCTAATGGAATATCCATTGTTTTAGACCCAAAAGCAACAAATCATTCTTGTTATAAACTTACTGCAGTCCTTAACTCGAGCAAAATTCCTGTTATTCACAATCCTTTCACTATGCTGACAAGAACACCAAACTAATAAGTCATCCTTACTTGTACATTATACTGTAGGCCATGATTGCAAAACAAGCAGTCACTTGTGAATTGTATCTAAGATCCTGAGACAGTAAAATATATAACATTAGGTATGATCATTTTTAATAATCTGAAACCATTTGCAACTTTGAAGGCTATTTTTGTCAGTTTGTACAAATTTTAATTTAGACACCATTAATTAAAATATTACCAATACACTGTCTGAAATCTTAATAGCTACAGTTCAGTGCATCATCATTCTTAATCCTGAGTTGAATTTAGAGGAATATTTTTTTCTCCAGTTCATTTATTTTATGCTTTTTATACTCTGTACATGAATCGGTTAACTCTTTTCTTTGTGTAATAGTTTCATAAATCATCAGGAGGAGAGGCAAAGCAAGAAAACGTGAGTGAAGAAGATGTGCAAGATGAAGCATATCTAGAATCCTACATTACTTCAGCTAATTAAAAAAAATAACATATTCATTTCCAGCAGATACTGTTTCTATAAAGTAGTGGGAAAACTTAACAATTAAAACTCCTTGAAAGCGGTAATCTTAACAAAGCTCAAAGTAAACTAAACTCAAAGCAAACTGTTTTACCGTGTAAGAGTTCTTGTTCTACACTGAATGCTGAAACCTAATCTTTTCCAAAACTTTCCCAATTTTTCTCCTGAAATACTCCCCTGGGTTCAGCCCTTTTGTATTGTCAAAAGACCATCACAGGATACTTTCTCTATACTTTTTTTTTTAAGCTAAATCTTTTACAATAGTGTCTTTGAAATTTTTTTGCTGTTTGATAGTGTACTTGAGCTGTGCTCCAAACTCTCTGAAACACTCTGTAAAGGGTTATTATGTAGGAGCCCTCTGTAAAACTTCCTGCCTACGTTTATATTTTCACTGTCATGGAAAAGTAGAAATGAACATCCTTAATACCTTGTTAACTATACATTCTATCATTATGTGAAACAATCACACAGATTTAATCAACAGATTTAGAACAGACAGGATTCAGTTCACAAAACTTTGATGACATGGAAAAAAAATTAAAAATTGAAGGTTAACATCTTCATTCAGTTACATGAGAATATGTCTGGTCAGATACACTGACCTCTGTTGAGGTATAAACTAATTTGCTCTAATGTAACACAGTAGAAAGTATCCTCTGATCTCTGAAATTGTACAGGTTCTCTTTTCCCCTGGAAATTTCACTGTAGTAAAGCCACTGGGCAGTATCTACACAGAGATAAAATGAAGAATTACTTAATTCTCTCTTGTACAGTAATAATGTTAAAGTTAACATCTTTTCAAGCGAAATAAAAAAAAGGAAGAAAAGCTGGAATGAAAATGTGTGAAATTGAAATAACTGCCTTATGCTATCAAGCATCAAGTGTTTTATACTCCCTAGGTTTTTATTTCCTAAATTTGAAGAGGCTTTCTGTTGTTTTTATTAGTCAAGATAATTTACTGCTCCCAATCAGCATCCAAGCCTGCAAAGATCCATTTTAACAACCCTGTTTATTATTTGTAAACAGTTATTAAATAATTCCTCCAAGTTTCTAATGTGTTATAAAGGAAGTTAATTAAATTATGTATATTTTTTTCCTGCTAAAACTTTTTATCTCCTCAGATAGAATTTCAGAGTGTTTTTATAACCCAGCTTGAAGTGAAATTGAATTGTATGAAATGACTGATTGCCAAGGACATCTGAACAAATGAGGTATTTATTTTATTCAGAATCCATTGAAGGATTTCTTGATGTTTTTATTTAATTTGCTTCACATCAAGGAGCTAAGTTTGCCTTTGAGACACATCAGGAAAGAAATAAAAGATTAATAAAAGCCCAGGAAGTTCCTACATTCTTGCAGAGTTTGATACGAAGCCTTAATATTATTCCACTTCTTCCTCATAGATAAATAGAGACCCATGTTTTCATCTCAAGTTGTCCAGTCCCCTGGGTACAGGTACTGTTTATACACAAAAAACTGAGATGATGATAAATACGTCAAATAGAATATTTTGAGTTGATGATACATATGTCCGGAGAATACAGGCTGCATGAATTGTTTTATTTATATATTGCCATTTGTAAAAGCTGTTTAAAACCACAAGCTCTTCCAGTGGTTTCTGACAAATGTGCTGACTGCGTAGGATAATGTCAGTTGTGATGTCAACTATTAGAACTCAGAAAGCTATAGGGTTTTTAAACTTAAGTAAATATTTGAAAAGTTGAAAGTGATTCAATTCATTTTATAATCAAAAAGCTTAAAAAGCCATATTCAAAATCATATAACAGAACTCAGCAACATATTGTCAAGCAAATTTTCAGGTACTCAGATTTTATTTTTTAATGCCAGTCTTAATTTCTCACTTCCTTAGTAAAGTTCAAGGTTCTTGTTATGCTCAGCTGTTTCTTTCTCTGCAAATTACTCTATTTTTCTTTGACTCTATCAACACCTCTTTTCAGCAGCTGTAGTATCCCATATATTGGAGTATAATGTATATATATTTTTTAAACTCTGTCATCGCCCTTTAATATTTGTCAATGGACAAGACAATATAACCTAAAGCAATTTCTATCAAAAAGAAAAAGTACAGTACTTTAATGGAATATTTTAATTGTGATCCCAGATAGTTTTTAAAGGGCCCATACTACTGCATTCCGTGGAGGAGGTAGAATGAGGGAGAAGTCCTCAATAATACATATGATTTAGCAAACAGAATTTTCCTGAATATTTTTTCAGGGTAGGATTATGGAGACTGCAAGGCTAGATAGAAAGCCTGGGTCTCTTCACTGAGAAACTTGCCTAGTCATACAAGCAAGCAAGTAATTTATTAAGAAATAGTAAAGAACTCCATTACAATAATGAGGCTTTTCAGAAATCCCACCAGATAAAAATTAAGGCACGGAAGCCTAGTAGCAATTCATGCATGTGAAAAAATAAATCAGGAAATTGTTGAGGAGCAGTTCATCTGTGGGCAAATGCCTCCCAAGTACTCCAGTTCAGTTCAGAAGGCTGGATTATCACAGTTGTGTGACAGCCAGCTGTGAAACACACATTTGCTTGAGTCTGGTATATACTACCCACTTGACATTTAAGAAAATCTGTGGAGTTTTCCTTCACAGATTTTGTTCTTAGCTCAGTGATGTAGACTGCTGCCTTTATCCTTATTTACTCTCTCCATTTCTTATGTTGCATTGTGTGCCTATGTACTGTTACTACAATATGGATAATTAATCTGTTGAATTTCTGCACAAAACTGGAACCCAGCAAAAGCATGAAGAAATGCCATAATGAAACAATAGACCAAGATATGAATAACAAATATGACAATAAAAATCTATTTTTTTGTCAGAGATCAATCTGATTAAAAAGACTGTCAATGTTTGTTTTTTTTTTTTTTTAATTTTCAGATGTTGATATTGAGAAGCTCAGGTCTCTGTGTTAATTCAGAAAAACTAAACACCTGAAAGTCAATTAATTTGCATGGGTGCTAAAGCAGCAAAAGAAAATAGGAAATGATACAGTAAATCATGCACCTTTTTGCTGCAGAGACTGCATGCTGTGCAGACAGAAATTTCAACTTGTTATGATGAATAAATATTAACTTAATTCCATTCTAATCTGTGAATATATTTTTTACTTTGCTAAACTAAGTCATCTGTGCTTAAGTCCAGCTTTTGTAATGAATCTACAGCACAGAACTAGTCTTAGTTGTAGAAAAACCTTTAAGCAAGACAAAAGCCTCAGAGTCTCTTTCTCTCTTTCTTTCTTTCTGATTTATGCAAGTATGTATTCACACATGCTGGATTGCTGAACTGTATTTCTGAAGAACTAGAAAGCATCATTAAATGTGGAACATCTTGGAGAAAATGAAAATATAGGCCCTTATGGAATTATTAACTATTATTCTCGAAAATATCATTATTTTGACAGAAAACAAAACCAAAGAGCAATTATAATGTAATAAATATTAGTAATTTTTGCTGCAAAAGAGCAAATAACACCGTTGCCTCTATGGGCAGATATTCCAACAGAATCAGAGTTACATCTCGTTTGCATTGAAATTCCATATTGCTCCATAAAGAAATGTTATTGGAAGGTGTTTTCTTTTGATTTTTGGGAAAAAATCCTAAGCCATTTTTTGATAATAAAATTTTGGTACTTGTTTATAGAAAAAAATACAGCAGTTATATGCCTTGACAAAATTCAAAACTACCTGGTTTACCTACTAACTATTATCAAAGCTAATGTAGTGTTCTTGGTGGTACCTGATTACTGTGTTGAATTGAAGCCTGGGAGTGTAACAGGTCTTTTGTACAGTAACAGGTAAAGTTTTAAGCAATACAGCCTCTGTTCTGTTGTCTAACCATGTGTGTCCTGTGTTATCTGAGATGCAAGAATGTGTATCTCCTGGCATCCCGCTGCTGGTCTGTATGCCCTATGTGGTATTTGCTGGTCCTCTGTGGAAGTCTCAGATGCCTGAGGGTATCTCTGTGTGTCAGTGGCCACGTGGGTTGAGGCAACTGAGCTGAACCCTAAAGAAACAGACATTACTGAGAAAGGAGATTTGCTTTTCTTGGTCACTGACAGAGTGCCAGAGTAGCAAGGAGGAGTAACTGCTCTAAACAAAATACATCAGGAGGTTCACACTGCACCCCAGCCTTCTGAGGTCTAAATATTCCCACAACTGTTAGATGTTTTAAAAGAAACCATCTCCATTAATACCTTTCCTTTGCTGATCGCTGCACTCAATGCATGCATGCATTGAAAAGCAATAAAATCAAGGTTCTTAAATTAACTAGAGAATTTTTGGTTTAGTATTTTTCCTTCCATGCGGTACCCAGAAATAATGCCTTTCTTACCATCGTTTCTCAGTGTCAGAGGTGTAGGAGGACTCAAAACTCTGGCATTTGTTACGGTGTTTTTTACCAGGCATATATAGCTGCCAACATCAGATGTTTGCACCTTGGAGATGTAGAGATTGCCTGTCTCCTGAGAGATGAAGCGTCTGCTGTCTTCTGCCACAAAAGATGGGAATTCATTAAATACCCAGCTATAGATGATCTCTAAAAGAAAACAGAAAAAAATAAGAGAAAGTAATTATGGAAACAATGTGTCATGTTAATGGATACACTCAACGAATGTTCATTAACTCTATTTAAGTCGTCTAGAAAAAACAAAAGCTAAAGGCTTTTTAAACTTTTTATTTGTTTTAGAATTGAAGATATTTTTTTCTCTCCTTGGAATTTTGAAAATAGCATAAATGTTGAGTCCACAAGTTCCCTGGGAAGACAGATTTAGTTCAAGAAAAATAATTAAATTGTTCATCAGACTCAGAAAAAAAACCCCATAAAATATTAGATAATTCCTTTTTCTGATCTTTCAGGTCAAGCCAATAGTAATATACAAAGCATTCTTTTCCCTACTTGTTTGAATTTGCAGTGAAATATATCAAGATGCTTCCTATAGAGCTAGGCAAGACTTTGCAAGTGTGTGTATAAACAGGTTTTATTCTGAACATCTGTTTTTAAAACCAGCAGATTCTAATAACTGTTCAACCTACCTTGCAGGTAGTATTACTGCACTAGACTTCTATCTTCTTCTACCTCTGCTTCACTAAAGAATCTCAGAACCCTTCCTATATGCAGTTTAAATCCCTACACTCAATGAATAATTCCTTAAACCAAAGCTACCAACTGCTTTGACTCATAATCTGATGGATCAGACTAATCAAAGTGATTTTTGAAAATGGTAACTAAATCCAGCACTTTGGTTCTTATTTTTATCCCACAAGCCTTTCTGTTCACCTGAAAAGTATGTACTTTTCCTTTTGTACTCATAACAATTGCTTGAGAAAAAAAGATTATTTCCTATTATTCTGTATGAGATTATATCATGATTTATTAAAAAGCTAGATGCATTAGTCTCGGCATTAGAAGTATCAGTAGAGTTAATGAGATTCTGATTTAGCAGGGAATACCTTGCAGGGAATTATTCATGTGGAGTTCCACCAATTCAGACTTTAAAGCCTTAACCTTATGTATACTTTTTCCCATGTTCTCTTTTCAGTCTTATCTTCCACTGTCTCATTTTGTCTTCACACTTTAAAAAAATGTTCTTCACTACTTAAACTGGCACATTAGCTATAAGGCAATTTCTTCTGTAATCTACCCCCCATGATAATCTTTAAAAACCTGACTCCAAAATTAGCAAAACCAAAGCTAGTTCAGGTAGCTAAAGTCCCTACTACTGCTCCAAGATGTAAACTGCTCCATTGGTAAAGTAAGTTCCAAGTTTTTAGACTCAAATTTCTTAGGTGACTACTCTCAGCTTCAGCGGCAATCCGAAGACAATAACTCCATGTGTGTCAGTCTGGTTCTCTCACACTTTTATCCCCACTACAGTCAAAGTGTTTTCTTGATATAAAGTTACCTGGAAAATGAAAGGGTCAAAGGGGTGAGAGGAAACACCTCAAAATTTAAATGTTTCTTTTTGCTTTTCTGCTAATGATAGGAGAGAAACTAGTTCAGCTGTTCATGGTATGAGAAGTGTGAAATACATTAACATCCTAGCTAAATATATGTCGTAGCCCGGTGTGCAGTTTGTCTATAACAGTATAGAAAGCATTAGAGATTCCAGCTGATCTGTTGTTCTTTCTATCCTTATGTTGTACTGATCCCCGGCATGGTGGTTGGAAAGGAACAGAAAAGCACAACGACTGCTTTTTCAACCAGTATAAGCCAACAGCGCAAGCAGTGACCTGCAGGATGTTCTGGATGAGCTTTAAGGAAGTTCAGTCTAGTTGTGAAGTCAGATGAAAATTTTCTCTTGAAAAACCGATGGTATTAGTACAAAAATGTTATGTTAAAGGACTAAACATTTTTACCTGACAGGAGGGGAAGACTTCTCCAAAACAGGGAATTAAGCTGCCCTCATTGACTTTTTGATTAAACCCTTTTTCAGATCTAATTGTAATTCTGAGTGGCTACAGAGGTCCCTGAGGAATTCAGGGCTCACAGAGAGCTCTCCGAGTTCAAAATCTCCTTCCTCTTCTGTTATGTTTCAGGCAAAATACTAATTAACTCAAATTCTCTCTGAAAATTTCATTGCCACATTTTGCCATTGATGTCTTACCTGGCAGAAATGATTCATGGCAGCATAAAATTTTACAAAGTGATGATGAACATACAAGTTCAAGGAAAATGCATAGGCTTTAATTGAAGACACCTGTTACCAATTCAAAGGGAAAGCAATCAGTCTTACTAATTGCTCTGGCTTAGAAGTAGTTCAAACCAAATATAAAGTACTCAACATTTTAGGTTCATTGGTGGTTCACGTACAATAGAATTTTCTCCATGTGTAGCCTAAAAACACATGCAGTTAATTATTCATTTATTAATTAGACCTACTCCTAACAAACTGATTTTAGGCAATAAATTTTTGTGCCTCTAAGGAAATAGAACACTTAGTCTTTGCTGGTGCTTAATCCGGGGGGATACTGTCATTTTATCACCTGCTAAATGACTTTTGTTGTTAAAAATGGAGTGATGAGTGAATGGGTATTGGGATAGAGTACTGAGAAAAAAAAAATAACAGAACTTCTGCCAAATCTAAAACTTAAACCATTTATGCTGCTGTTAATGCTTTTATCTGTGCATACGTACAGCATCCGTATTCCAGCCAGGAGCCCAAACTCCAAAGCACAGGCAAAAGTGCTGACAGTTTATTTCTTGGTCATTGTCAGCCCATTGACATTGAAGGAATTACTACTATTTTTCATTTCTAAAAAACAAAACCCTGGGAATACACTTTCAAATACCTGAAGACTTTGCATCTGAAGGCTCAGATCTGGAAATGATCTGGAATTCTGAACCTTCTTTGCAGGTGAAAAGCCCCTTACATGGTTTCTGAAGTTTCTCTAGACCTGGCTAATGAGTTCAGCAAATTCTTAAATACAATTTTGAGGGCTATGTCCATACAGTATGCATGGGCTTCAGTGGAAATATCTCAAGGAAACTCTGCAATTTCCAATGCATGCTACGCAGAACAGTCAGAGATAACCACAGCTGGCTTGGGATCTGGGGACTCAACAGTTTTTATCCGACAGAAATAGATGGATGATCTTGCAGGAGTGATTTTACAAAAGGTTGTTAAGAGAATTACTGCAATTATGGGAAAATGGGTGTACTTTGACATTGATCCATTGTACAAATGTCTCACACTTCTAAATTTGCAGCCACAGTAGAGGTTGAAACATGCATTGGTGTTCATATTCTGGGGTTCTAGCTGTTCCCAATTTGTATGCCAGCAAAATTAAAATTTAGGGTTCTTAAATCACAGAATTGCTAACGAAGACTGTCCAAGTACAAAACCTGAGTTTTTGTTTTGTTTTGTTTTCTTCTGGCAGTATCATGCACAAGAGAATATCAAAATAATTGCAATGACTTATTAAAAAAAAAACCAAACTAATGAAGAGAGAATGATGGAGAATCGACATTTAAAGCATTACTGTCTATCTATAGAAAGTCTGTCATCTATAGTGCACACACAGTAAAATGTTCTTAAACAACAGTGAATCTAGTTACATGCCACAAGTCCCACAGCAGTTCAGCACAGGAGTACATGTAAGCTACAAGAAGAGAGGCTTGCCTTTAAATACTATCTGAAATCCCACTCTTACAAAATCATAAACTGCTGAGTGAACATTTTGAACATTTGAACACAACAAGAAGCCCAAGACCAAACCAGTGTAATTTGGCTAAGTACAAATCACAACTGCCATTGTATTAACTTTTTAATAGGAGACTGAACTCCAGAGATGCATCTCAAGACTGACAGGTAAATAAGTGGCCTTCAAGAGATTTTGAAGATAAAACTCAGTGCTACCAAAATTTAAATAATCTACAACTGTAAAATCAGAAAATAATTACTCTAGACGAGAACCTTCTAAAGTCATCTCCTTTTGACAAAAGACTGAGTAAATGGTTTCTCCATGCTGTACTAATTTTGCTTTCAATCGGGAAAAAAGTTTAAGTGAAAACAGGAAATGGTGAATACTGCAGTATACAGAAGTTTAGAGTATATTTACAGAATATATGCTGAGTTTATTTTTTATTTCCATGCCCAACTATTTTATTTTTAATGTGACACCTATGCCAAAACCACAAAGAAGCAGAGCTCTTCCTGGAAACTACAGTTGACTGCCAACACAAAAGAAACTTTTACGCAGATGCTATTTATCAGCACAAACAGAAACAGAGAGTAAAAAGACAGAAAAATTATGAATTATAAAAGCTATTATAAATTGGCATTCTCCTGAGGCTTGGGCTGGAGGACTCTTCTGCTGGTAAATTCTGTTATATATAAAGTCTTGGTGTGAAAATGATTTAAGTAATTTTGGTAGCTGCAAAACTGATATTTCCCTTTATGAATGACCAGCCTTGTTTACAGAAGAATGCCTCCAGGGAGCTTTGTATCTGTTTTTTGAAGGCCATTTGGAAAGTCTTCCAAATGTCCAGTTTGTTTCAGTGTTTCATTAAGTACATTTTAGTGGGCTATGTAGGTGAAAATCTGACTCACTTGGTGACAAATCAGTGAGAAGAGAGCATCTATCTCCTGCCAAAATGAATTTATAGTGTGAAATTTTGTTTACCATAATTTCTTAAATTATTTTTGTAGATCTATTTTCTCTGTTTAACAGCACTATTTCCTAAACTGTCACAATGTGACATACTTCCTACAATGGATGAAGCTGGAGTACTGAAATATCAGCACTTTTACTAGTGCTGTATTGTGTTTTTGGAGATATCATTCTGATGCAGAAAACGTCAGTACTATGGTAATGGAAAAGTCTTTCTGTCAATGTGGGTCAGTAAGAAACAACCTCTTAAGTATTGTATCAAGAGATGTGCTGGAAGCATTCAGATAGCACCAAATATTCACTCCTGTGTTTGTTAGTGCTTGAATGTTTCCCCAATTTACTTCAAGGCTTTTCTCCTGAGAAATTGCTTGTTTAGTCCTTTTGATATGAGGCTTCTGGACAGCCTTTTCATCAGTCCTGTGAGCT